CTTTCAGCTGTGATGTATATGGTGGGGATAGTAAAAGTGGTCTCTGAATGTAAGCAGGGGCTGTAGTACAGATGCACTTGCAGGGCAGAGTCACAGCTGGACTTCTGACTGCCGGCCCTTTCGCTCTTCATCAGTGGCACCTCCTCTTCACTCATGGTGTTCTCACCAAAGCAATCTCCTGATTGGATGAAAAGAACTAGGATATTTTTTCTCAACAGATGTAGGTGTTTACTGACTGTCCAAAACTGAAATTAGGATGTTATTAAAATAAGACTAATGGTTATTTCTGACAGAAAATAAATTTTTCTTATGTTAGAGACAGGCAAAAAGTGACAAAATAAGATAAATAAACCTGCATGTTCTGTTTAGGGCTTTTTTTTTTTTTTTTAAAGCTTTTTCAATAAAGTCCCTATAAAGTCAAAGTTAAGTATGTGTTCTGAGTTTGTCACACCACAAAATGTATTATTAGCCACCCAGCCAAATTTGAATGTTAAAAAAAGCCAGCAAGCACATAAAACAAGCTATTTTATTAGCCTACGCATAACCTGGCGAAGGCATAGCTGTAGTAACTAAGTACTGACAGCGTGATTGAGCGCCGGCCAAACTGATGCGTCATCTGGTGTGTCATCAAGTAGGGGCGTGTCCACGAGCTCAGGGGCTCCAGTGCGTTATCGAGCCCCCGTTTTAGCCCCGCCCAAAAAATCCGGAAAATAGCAATAGCAAAAAACTGTTTAAAGGTCCAAAACTGTTTGACTCCACGTTTCAGTACTTCACAGTCTTTGTAATATGTTTAGCAATACGTTTCTAACATTTATAATGTGTTTAGATTTTTTTTTTTTTAGAATTGCCTTTACAGGGACTTTAAAGTGCCCCTTTTATGCTTTGTCAAATATTACCTTTCACACAGTGTAATATAGCTGTTTGTGAATGGTTTTAAAGATCAAAGTACACAACAAATAAAGTTATTGTCTCCTAAAAGAAAAAAATCAATTCTAAACTGCCTGTAATGAGTCGTCAGCAGTTCAGTCTCACTTCTTTTTACATATGTACATAGCAATGTAACATATTTGCATAATTCCAGCCTATGGTCTTCATTGACTGCCCACAAACAACGTTTTATTTGACCCGCCGTCAAACACTGTAGTTGTACAGTAGCGGAGGCCTGTAAGATTTTGGTTTGTTGTCAACATGAAGAGGCTGTTTTCCCTGCTGCAAATTCACTTCATGTACTCACGCTCAAATTGATAACAAAAAAAAAAACAAGTTGCCATTGTTTGTATCACTGTGTATTGAGTGCTAAGGAAGCCTCCAGTAATGAAATTTAGGTATAGTAATAGATGTTTCGTTTCAGATACACCAATAGAGTACCGAAGTGATGACGTCACTTTGTAGGACAACTCGGAAGCTAATGGCGCATGGGTTTCCTCTGTCGAAAAGCAAGGAATTTTCCCCATAGACTTTTGGAAAATCGCAAAAAAATAAGATCTCTGTTCAACAAAGAGTTGTGACCCTTACACGTTTTGTCTAGCAAGATAATCTTTACAAGTTAATCCAAAATTTATACATTTTGAAGCCTAATAAAGATTTTAAAAAACACAATCATGCACAATAAAGTTTAAAAAACCACAAGCAAGTTATAACTGTGTGTTCTATGTCATAGATCAAAACGTGAAAATATTTAGAGGCTTTGTTCACCACAGACCTTATTTCAGGCAATTTAGCAAAAACCCATTTAAAAATCCCATAGAATTTAGAGCGAGGGAACCGGTAGTGCTAAAATGCTAACTCACTTCCGCGTTTCGGCCTACAGAGTGACGTCGTAACTTCGGCACTCTATTACAACAGACTGGGCTGTCTGACCAATCAGAGCAGAGCAGGCCAATCATAACAGACTGGGCCCTTTGACCAATCAAAACAGAGTAGGCCAATCACAAGAGACTGGGCCCTTTGACAAATCAAAACAGAGCAGTCGACCAATTACAACAGACTGGGCCGTCTGACCAATCAAAGCAGAGCAGGCCAATCACAACAAACTGGGCCGTCTGACCAATTAGAGCAGAGGAGGCCAATCACAACAGATTCTTTGTCAAAAGAGGTGATGTGCAATGTATATGATGAGAAAATTAAAGTGTTTTTTGACCTTGGATGCATGGAAAGGATAATAGGGGCACTTTAAAGTTCACTTTTGCTATATGAATACTGATTATAAATTAAACTTCCACTTTACTGCACCTTGTAAATTAAAAATGTTACATTACTTTTTCTGGGGGTCTCCCTCAGCTATATACTGTCTATATATAGCTGATATGTATTTACCCCAAACTGAAGCAATGTTGCTATTTTTGATAATGTTGTGTTTTAGAAAAGTATAGGCCTAACGTTTTGGCATTTAACAGAGGGTTACATTTCAACAATATCTTTCAAATGGGCTTTAAGTCAAAAGAACATTTTAAAAGGTGAATTTGAAAGGCCAGGTTTGCAATTATTATTATTTTTAGACACAAATAATCAGGGTCTTCAATAAATACAATTTACAATTTAACCTAAATACAATTTTAAGAGAACTTGAGGCCTACTGTAAGTTGGCGTTGACGTTGTATGGTAAAGCAGTGGATTATTGTTAACACCAGTTCTTGGAACCATGGTGGTCACACCAATGATAGAAGTGAGGTCATCCTTTCTCAAGTTGACGATCTGTACTTTCCGTAACAAACTAATTCATGGGTGTTTTCCAATAGCTTTACCAAATTAAGTCGCCATAAACAGAAAAGGATTTGATATATATTTAGGATTTTAAGTTAAGGTTAGCTAACACAAGTTTGGTTTGGTTTTGAAAATTTAATTTGGTGTTAAATATTATAGTTATACATCCTATTACAAAAGTATATCTATTCAATATCCATCCAATAACCCAATAAAAATAATACATACAAGCAATGTTTTCAATGCAATACAACACCATCACTCAAAAAAACATATTTCATTGGTAGTCACATGACTTCCACTGGCATATTCTTTGAAATGGCAAAATTACAAGTTGTTTTTCCATATTACGATTCTAATAAAGACAGCTAAGAGGTGTTACCTTATTTAAGAAGAAACATTGATGATTTGTTCATGTTGATGTGATGATGAGCTGCGTAAATATAACTCTGGCTTCGCTGTTGTGAGTCTCTGGTGGGAGGGATCAAATGAGACTTGTTTCCGGCAAGAGACAAACCGCAGAGGCACCTCATTTCCTGACTGCTTTAACAAGATCGACACCACTTGGTGTTTCTTTACTGCTCGGCCTCATCTGACATCTCAGTTTCTAGAACTGTGATCAGGCCTTAAATTCAGAAGCCCACCAGAATAGTACAAGAATAGTGTGTATTTATAACAGTGTGAGAGAGAACGAGAAGGGGGTGTTTGCTGGAGCTGCTGGGGTTGTTGCTTTCCTTACGTGGGAAGACTGAAACTGTGGTTTCCTCTTTCTCTGCTAGTGAGCGTCGAGTTTGTTATTTCCGCCTGCAGAGAAAAACTGAGTAGTTTTTTTTTTTTTTTTTTTTTTCCGTTTGGCCTGATACAACCCAGTGGCTTATGCAACTTTCATTTAAACTATGTTGATCAAGAAGTACGTGCACCCGATAGTGTTGAAATATCAGTTTATTGTGAATGTGCATTATTCTACAGCTCATCTCTGCGACACTACGGTACCAACAGGCAACAAATAATACATTTTTAAAATATGCATGAATTATACAGCCAACATCATTCAATACATAAACACTGAAACAGTTTAATCTCGATTCTGATGACTTGGGGCCTTTTAGGACTTTACTAATATCCCAATGAGCCTTGTTTTATAGATTTAGACAGACATATTCTTGTCTGCCAAAAAACGAATGAAATGCATTATATGGTGTAGTTAAAATCTATTGTAGCATGGTCAATAAAATGGATCTTTATAGTGTAACAATTTAGGCTACATGTTATTTTAATTAATTCACAATAATAATCATTCATACTTTTCAGAGAGTTATTGGATCATAGTAATTAATCTCATTTAAAAGCATTCTGTTAATTAAACAAATTTCAATGTGTGCGTTCTTATGCTCTCTTCTCTTCTAAACTTGGCTAGGAATGAAAGTGAACTGACAAACAGGTGCGATGCAGGTGTGTGATGAACAGAAACGTATTGTGCATGAGTTGTACTATGAAAGAAAGCACTATTGTTATATACAGATCAAAGAATCATCCTTTGAATCAGGTGGTGATGGTCAGGTATTCAGTAACGCCAATCAAGAAGGAAGATAACCAAATCAGTATGGCTTTGACATATTTCATATGAGAGACTGTACAGGGAGCGTACCTTGCATGATGTAAATAGTTAAGCTGTGCCTTTCAACATTTCATTTTGCAAAGCCACAGAAATTCTTCCACAAAAAGTCATTTTAAATTTGAATTAAAGGAGTAGTTCACTTTTTAAAAAACGTTTGCTGATAATTTACTCACCCCCATGTCATCCATGATGTCCATGTCTTTCTTTTTTCAATCGAAAAGAAATTAAGGTTTTTGATGAAAACATTCCAGGATTTTCTCCATATAATGGACTTCATTGGGAACCAAATGGTTCAAGGTCCAAATGAGAGTTTCAGTGCAGCTTCAAAGGGCTCTAAACGACACCAGACGATGAATAAGCGAAACGAGCGGTCGTTTCAAAAATAAATAAAAAAAGTTTAAGTTTTATAAGCACAAATGCTCGCCTTGCTCTGTTCTGTGATGAGCGTTCGTGACTCTCCTGTTCAAACTCGTTCATCAAAATGAACGAATCTTTTTTCGAGTCATGACTCGAAGGGTCCTAGATAAGACCCTTATTCATCGTCTGGTGTCGTTTAAAGCCCTTTGAAGCTGCACTGAAACTCTCATTTGGACCTTGAACCGTTTGGTTCCTAATGAAGTCCATTATATGGAGAAAATCCTGGAATGTTTTCATCAAAAACCTTAATTTCTTTTCGACTGAAGAAAGAAAGACGTGGGGGTGAGTAAATTATCAGCAAAAGTTTTTTTAAAAAGTGAACTACTCCTTTAAGCTGCATTATTTCTTGGAAATTTAGTTTGAAACCTGACTTTTAAAGCGGGTCCTGCACCTGTCTAAACTTCACCTTTGTTCAGTAAAACAACTTGTTTATCAGCTGTGGCAAATTGTTCTTTTGAACTGAGAAGGATTTCGGTGGGATTGTGTGCTGTCCCTGTAGTTTCATTCTGTAGAGACAAGAATAATGTCAGCACTGTTGGTAGTGTTAACTCAAACTATTAAAAATTGTTAGAATATTAAATATTAAATATTAGATAAAAACAGACTTAACCTAACCAAATTAGAAATATTGTCTTGGCAACTAACTGCACTCTAAAAAATGCTGGGTTGTTTTAACCCAACTTTGGGTCAAATATGGACTAACCCAGCCGTTGGGTTAAATTTTTACATTACATTTTTAACCCAACATTTCGGGTTTGTCCATATTTGACCCAAAATTGGGTTAAAACGACCCAGCATTTTTTAGAGTGTGAGATAAAAATAAAGTTAAATAAGAAGCTCATTCAAAATAAAAGCTCATTCAAAATATTAATAAATAGTATAAATGTAAAATAAGTAAATGAACGGCTACCATCTAACTTACCAAGTTATGACAGGTTTTTTGTTCCAAGTTCCACCGTAACAAACCAGGACCGATAGAATCCTTCTTGGTGGGTCCTGCAGTAATTCAGCACATATTCATTTGAAGGTAAAATAACATCTGTTGATGTTTTCATTTGATTGATTTAATTATTAAAGCATTAATTCACCCAAAAATGAAAATTCTGTCATCATTTACTCACCCTCATGTCGTTCCAAACCCTTAAGACTTACTTTAATCTTCAGAACACAATGAAGATATCTTTAAACGGAGCGATTTCTTTCCCTCCATTGACAGCTACTCAACCATATTGATGCTTCAAAAAGCTAGAGATCGTAAAAACTATAATCTATATGAATTGAGCGGTTTAGTCCAAATGTTCTGAAGAGACTCGATCGCTTTAGAATCAGATGAACATATTGAATTTAGTCTTTATTCACATCTAAACATTGATTCGAACATAAACAGAAGCTCAACCTGCTTGATGCGCAAGAACAAACCATTTTGTTCTTATGGTTTTATGATCTCTTTATTATATTTTTGAAGTGTCAGTGGAGGGACAGAAATGGCTCAGATTTCATTAAAATGATCTTCATTTGTGTTTTAAAGATGAACGAAAGTCTTACGGGTTTGTAACAACATGAGGCTGAGTAATTGTTGACATAATTTTCATTTTTGGGTGAACTATCCCTTTAACAACACTGTAAGTGAGTTTCTCTCACCTGTAATGTAGCTAACCACCACACCTACTAGCATGACTGCACTAGTTGACAGGGCTCCGAAGTACAGGTATGATATTGAATAGATATTTTGAAAGCTGCATGAATTTAGTTGGAAAAAGAAAACTTAACTCTTGTATTACTATATTTCACAAGTATTTAAGTCACAGAGCAGTGAAAAATGCAATTAAGGTTCATATAAAATGTGTTACAAATTTTAGAATCTTACCCATAATCCCGGGGGACTGATGATTTAGTGACTGCTGTGGTGCTGTTGAGCGTTGCATTAGTTGCTAGACAGTGATCAGCGCTAGTGTGTAAAACACCCATTATTTGTGGTGAAGGAGGATAAATTGTGCTTCCAACAGCGAGCCATAGAGACAGACAAAAACCCACAGCCACACCTGAGAAAACCCCCTATAGTGTGAGAAATAATTATTACATGGCTATCAAATGGAGGGAAAGAATAATATGGTGTACACTACAGTGATGTTTATGGAGCCTTACCGGTTTATTTGTGGCTGGAACAAACATGCCCAGCACAAACGCTCCCAGAAGTGGACCATTCACTACACCCATAACTGTGAACGAACCCTGAGGTTATTAGAGGTAAAAGACAGCTGGTTAGAGCACAGACACATAGACTGCAATACATCCTGCTTGAAATCAGTTATTCCAGTAGTTCTCACCTGAAGGACTCCCCAGTCCAGCAGGGAGGAGAGCGCAGCCATTGTAATGCAGCCGAGCCCGTACAACAGAGCTGTTTTACACATGTAGACAAACAATAATAACATTAGTCGACACTGTATTTATATTAGTAGTTCACTTTATCTATTTTATTTATTATTTATTTTTTACTCACCCCCATGTCATCCAAGATGTCCACGTCTTTCTTTCTTCAGTCGAAAAGAAATTAAGGTTTTTGATGAAAACATTCCAGGATTTTCTACATATAATGGACTTCAATGGGAACCAAACGGTTCAAGGACCAAATGAGTTTTAGTGCAGCTTCAAAGGGCTTTAAACGACACCAGATGATGAATAAGGGTCTTATCTAGGACCCTTTGAGTCATGACTCGGAAAAAGATTTGTTAATTTTGATGAATGAGTTCGAAAAGGAGAATCACGAACGCGCATCACAGGACAGAGCATGGAGAGCATTTGTGCTTATAAAACTTAAACTTTTTTATTTATTTTTTAAATGTCTGATCGTTTCACTAGATAAGACCCTTATTCATCGTCTGGTGTCGTTTACAGCCCTTTGAAGCTGCACTGAATCTCTCATTTGGACCCTGAACTTTTTGGTTCCCAATGAAGTCCATTATATGGAGAAAATCCTGGAATGTTTTCATCAAAAACCTTAATTTCTTTTTGACTGAAGAAAGAAAGCCAAGAACATCTTGGATGACATGGGGGTGAGTAAATTATCAGCAAAAGCTTTTTTAAAAGTGAACTACTCCTTTAAATAAGTGCTGTATATAAATCTCACCAATAATCTCATTTTAATGCATTACAAATCCAACATTACATTTAATTAAGATAGAATTAAAAGTAAATGTATTTTTATTAAAATCAGCATATATTAAAGGCAGCAAATAAATACAAACATTATAAAGTTATATATTTATAGTTAATTAATTTTAGAATAATGTATATAATATAACATTAAATACATAATATTATATTTATGTAAATATAATAACATTATGAAATATATTCAAATATATATATATATATATATATAAAACTCATGTTATATAACATTACATTTATTCTATATATATTATATTTATGTAAATATAATAAAACATTATGAAATATTTTCAAATATATATATATATATATATATATAATCATGTTATATAACATTACATTTATTCTATATATATATAGAGAGATATATATGACTTTACACTACAGGGAAGAATAAGAAGTGGCTTTTGACCGTACATAATGACTTGGAGAGTAAGAGCTGTTTTCTCTGTGAAACAGTGATTAGCCACGGCTTCATTACATCCTCCATAGTAACAGCTGCCATTGCGTTGATGCTGGTAGAGACAGTACTGTGGATAAAAAGCAGGTGGTTTACTCCATTCGTATCAGTAATGAACACCTCACTGAAGATAGTTTCAACCACCTTAAAGTTCCACTGTAGGCACAGGCTAGAAAAAGACCCGGGAAGCCTGGATGATTCCGGAAAATGTCCAAAACCAAGTACGGCATGTACTGTGAAAATAAAGATCAAGGCAGATTTTTGGTTTAAAATTGAATAGTGATTAGTATAGTTAATTCATGCATGTATTCACTTACCTGGTCAGGTGCAGATATTCTGCCAGTCTTCAGCGGGTCACAGTTGGAGTATAAAGCAAACATCACAATGCCACAGGTGGCTGCACTGCTCACAATCAGACACAGACCCACCTGATTTACCAGCAGCGCCCTGCAGAACAAGACTCACACTCAGTGGAGCTCTATCTCAGTGAGCAGTGGCAGAAAATACTGTATGTGAGTTAAATTGAATGCCAAACAAAGCTAAATTTAGTAGACTGAACTGATTTTAGACAGATTTGATTGTTTATTCGCTCACAGTTGGGCTTGTTTCTCAGTCCTGCATGATATGTAGCGCTGTACTTGGGCCTGATTGGCTCCATACATGGATAACCACACCATTGTGCCGCCCACTGTGAAACTCCAGAACGAGTACCGCCTCTGAGGGTCTATGGCAAAACTGTAACACATGAGCAATACAATAGTAAATAAACTTTTAATTCATTTGAGAATTGAACAGATTTCAAAACATTTACTGTTCATACTCATTAAAATTGATGCGGGATCCATTGTTGGCGATCTCTAAAACTCTGGCAGGCCCTCCTGCCAATATGGTGCCCTGAATGAAGATGGCAACGAACCCAGAGAGCATGACTACAATCTGAAAAACATCTGTCCAGATTACAGCCTTTATACCACCCTGCAGGAAAACGGAAACAAGCATTTACACACTCATCCAACTGTTTTACTAATTAATCATTCATATACATACACTCAAATCATATACCAAATATTCAGGCCAAAAGTTATATCCAGACTAGGGAAGATGACATCGTCACCCCTTAAAACAAAAATCCCTCCGGACATCACTTTTGGTGACTATACAGTATACACAATTTATGAGAAATATTTGGTCACAATATAATGGACTTCATTAGGAACCAAACGGTTCAAGGTCTAAATGAGAGTTTCAGTGCAGCTTCAAAGGGCTTTAAACGACACCAGACGATGAATAAGGGTCTTATCTAGGACCCTTCGAGTCATGACTCGAAAAAAGATTTGTTCATTTTGATGAACGAGTTCGAACAGGAGAGTCACGAACGCTCATCACAGAACAGAGCGAGACGAGCATTTGTGCTTATAAAACTTAAACTTTTTTATTTATTTTTGAAACGACCGCTCGTTTCGCTTATTCATCGTCTGGTGTCGTTTAAAGCCCTTTGAAGCTGCACTGAAACTCTCATTTGGACCTTGAACCGTTTGGTTCCCAATGAAGTCCATTATATGGAGAAAATCCTGGAATGTTTTCATCAAAAACCTTAATTTCTTTTCGACTGAAGAAAGAAAGACATGGACATCATGGACAAGTGAACTACTCCTTTAAAAGGGTCAAAATAGTCCACCAATTAAGCAAAGACTGTTTTGGACACCAGTCCATTTGTATTATTCAAATCAGGCAAGATTTCACAACACTGGCCTACCACTGTTGTGTAAAATGTGCAGACGAGTCCAGTTGAGAAAAGAGACGCCCACATATTTAGGCCCGTGGCTTGATTCAGAAAAGAAGAAAAGCTTGATGAGAATATGGGCAAAATCAAACACATAACTTCCATATATTCCATCAGATATCCACTGACGGATTTGTTTATTTCTCTTACCCTGATTCAAGATGACTGCAGGAGCAAAGATCACTATTCCAGTGTAGAGAAGCTACAGGAAGAACAACACAATATCAGCATTATGTATTCATTTAGACACAAATCTAAAACTAAAATAAACACATTATTATTATTATTTCAAATAGATATTTTATGCAAAGAATGCAAATTCAAGGCTTTACCGATTAGGATTCGACATTTGCTTTAATATAAATTGCATTATATATTTTTATGATTATATGAATTCATCTTACTGTGGCTACAATGAACTGCAAACTTCCCAAGAGCTGCATCCCTCTCCCAAACCTCATTCCTAAATACTGACAAGTACATTTCACACACATACACATGAAAAAACGGTGCAGTCCAAAAGTATGTACTGTAAATGCTTGTAGGGGAACATACTAAATACAGAAAAATAAAAGCCTCAAAACTGAAATTGGGAAAATGCCTTTTAATAATAATAAAAAAGCTTAATATAAGGAATTTCACCAGTGGCCTAAAATCTTTAGACTCCACATACTACAGGGAAATTACTCGTCCTCACATTCATGAAATCAATGAAATTCAATGCGAATCATGGTATGCAATTCATACATACACACACACACACACACACATATATATATAGGCTATATATGAAGAGTTCAGATGCAAAAACCTCTAAATGCCATTTGAAATTTTCTTCAGGAATGTTAATTTTTATCAAGCTTGTATATTTAAGTTCAGTAATTTCACTTAAATGGCAATGAAGATTACCTATGAATTGCCATTTAAGTGAAATTACTGAATTTAAATATACAAGCTTGATAAAAATGATTATTTTAGAAGAGAATTTCAAATGGCACTTAGAGGCTTTTGCATCTGAACTCTTCATATAGAGAGTGCACTGTGCATATATATAGAGAGAGACTATCGAGATAAATGGACCAAACCTGATGTGCGCTGGTGATTTTGAGACGATAAAACACAGGAACGAACACAACTGCAGTAATGAGGGAGTTGAGGGCTTGTCCCAGGCACATATAGAGAAACTTAAAGCCATATAAATATGCCTCAGATGGCACACCGAGCACTTGGACAGCTGACATAAAGCTGGCACAGAGCGACAGTCCAACCGGCACAGCAGAGAAACCCCTGCCCCCTGTGAAGAAGTTGTCCACATTCGAGCGACCCTGGGTGTATCGCAGAGACTGGAATAGCCCGATGGACAACGAAACCACCAGCATAGCAGCAAATACCACATAGTCCACCAAACAGAAGCCCAAGTTGTCCGAGTCCGAAGCCATAGCGCTCTCTGTTTAGACTCAGAGCCTAAATGAGTAGAGTCCTTCTCTTCAAGAGACGGTCAGCTGTAACAACAAACTCAGAAATCACAATGCATTCTCAATCGACTCCCTGTTATGTTCTCTTGACTTTCAGAGGTTAGGGCTCATGCAGTGCAAAGTGTCATTTAAGGTAAAAACAGCTTGATTTTTTTTATTTTTTACACACTATTTAAATATATATATATATATATATATATATATATATATAAAAACTTACCCTTGACCAAAACAATGCTAAATGAGTTTATATGAAAAGACCATAGGCCAGCATGTAGAGTAATCAAGTATTGGTTTAAAGATATGTTCACTGTCACTGACCGGTGTGGAAAGTGAATGAGCATTCTTTCAAATAGAGGGGGATTTATTTGTCTGGGCTGATAATTTGGATAATCGAAGGCAGTCTGATGGGAGGAGAATTGGGAATTAATATACCTGTAATATGTGGAGGGAGGAGTATGTTATGATTGACAGCAGAGTCATTTGACACCACTGATTCTTTCCTTTATTTTTGTTTAAATCTTCAAACATTTTCTTTGCTATGAAAAGCATGATGTAATATTTTGATTACTCTGACAGATTTAATAAGCACTGAACAAAAAGTATTCAGTGTATACCTATTGCTTTTTTGCATGGACATGTGATTCATTCTTTGTCATACTGTACGCCAACCATGTAAATACAATGATGTATGGGAAACATGTTAAGCAAATTAGCATAATGTGCTATTGCTTGTAAGGATACACAGTGTTGTTTAGCAGGATTGAGAAACATCTATTCTGAATGAGTTCTGTTGCTTTCTTGTTTTAGAAGTTTAAGATCACATTGAAAATCTATTATTTTCCCTTGTTAAATACATTTTTTTTGCTGTTGTTAAAAATAAAATATGTTTAAGGCAATTTTATTGTTTAATTAATATATATATATATATATATATATATATATATATATATATATATATATATATATATAAAATAAATTCACATCAAATTAGTTAAAAATGGAAAGTGGGAACAGCCTGCGCAAAGCAATAATTTGAAATAAAATCGAAGATTTTCTCATGCTTTGTTTTGGTCTTTTGGACCCCATTGTTTACTGGTTAAGGAGCAATTAGACTACTAACAGAGTGACTCTGGATGTTCTCGAGTAGTATCACAGGTATTGCGATTTTTCTGTACCTGTTTGAGTAGATAAAACGGACCACAAGGATAGTGTTCGATGCAGTAAGCGTGTAGTGGACTGACCGTCGAGCCTCCAGAGGGCGCTAAATGAACCGCTTCAACTGTGGCGCAGGCGCAGCGGCTTGAGAAGAAGAGCAAACATCATCCCGGTGCAGGAAAAGGTTGGTGCTGTTACATTAAATATTAGATTTGAAGCCTGAAAATGACTTCGACTAATAAAATGAGATGTTTTAAACGCTCCCGTCTAGATCTACTTTCATTGTTCAGCTGACAGTATCCGATACAAGCTTGTACATGAATACTATCACTCTCTGAAAACAGAGTGATTAGCAAAGATGCTAACGAGAAGGTTTCTGAAAAGAAAAAGTAACTGTTACAGTTAAAATGTTCACTAAAGTGCCAGGATTTTCCCTTTGCGACACTCTATTTTAGGAAATTAGAGAATTAAATCTTCTAGCAACGAGACATGTCAGATGATAACGTGTGCTGTCAGAACATAAACAAAAGGAGCAGGTGTAAGATTTATGATAAAGTTAATTTTATATAGAGGACTATATTTATATATTTAGAATATATTTATATATACACACACACAAAGTTCTGCTAAACGTACACGATAATATATAAAAAAATTATAATATATAAATTATTATTATTATATATACCACAAATAACATTGGAATAAAGTATAAGGTAAATAAGAAAAAGTAGATGCATATTTTGCAGTTTACCTGGTTAATCTCCTTCTCTTTTGGAAGTGCTGTAAACAAAATATTTGGAGTTTAACACGCCCTAGTTAATACCAGATTATGTTAAAAGGGTAGTTCACCCAAAAATGAAAATTATGCAATCATTTACTTTCCCTCAAGTTGTTCCAAATCTGAATGAGTTTCTTTGTTATTTTCTTTGTAAGATTTTAAGAATTTTGGTAAGCAGACCGCTGACGGGTAGCCTTTGACTTTCATTGTAGGAACAAATAAATACTATAGAATTAAATAGCTACTGTGGTTACCAAAAAGGACCTTAAAAATCCCTAATCCCGAACCAGCTTCCAGAAGAGATCAGGTGTGCTCCTACAGTAGTCACATTCAAATCCAGACTCAAAACACATCTGTTTAGCTGTGCATTTACTGAATGAGCACTGTGCCGCTGTTCGTCCGACTGTTACTGCACTTCATTTTATTCTAAATAGTTTTAATTTACTGTATTTTATTTTTATCATAATTTTTATTTTTCATTATTTCTTATTTTTTATTCTAAACTGTTTTAATTATTCTGATTTCTTTTGATTATTTTAATTTCTTCTATGTAAAGCACTTTGAATTGCCATTGTGTATGAAATGTGCAATATAAATAAACTTGCCTTGCCTTATTTTATTTTACTGAGGTCTGTGCTTTACTGTGAAATGTATGAGATGCACAAAACTGAATAAGAGCCCTATAACTGGTCCTAAATAGATATTTATGATTCAGCCTCAGATCATGATTGCCATGTGTTTAATTTTAATCTTTCTCTAATTAGAATGTTTATACACTACACAATGCCATAATGCCCTTTGTGATCTCAGCACATACAGTATTCTTCCACTTTTAACTGGTCATCTTCTCTACATTATCTCCGCAGGGAAGTCCCAGGAATGCCGAAGAAATTCCAGGGTGAGAATTCCAAATCGGCCACAGCGAGGGCCAGGAAGGCTGAGGCCAAAGCAGTCGCTGATGCACAGAAACAGAAGGATCTGGAGGATGCGCTCTGGCAAGATAACGACAAACATGTCATGAAGAAAGAGCAGAGGAAGGTAGGACTGTTTTTTTTTGTTGTTGATTTAACAACGCAGGGTTCCCACAGGTCCTTGAAAGTTTGTGAATCTGAAAAAAATAATCAAGGCACTGGAAAGTTTTTAAAAATAAACATGCATATTATAAATATAGGTCCTTGATAGTGCTTGAATTTATTTTGTGCAAGAAGTTTTATGGAAAAAATGTCATACTTTGGGATTGTTTGAAATGTACCATTACTGTGAGATTAGATTTGTGTCACATCCACACCTAACTGGAAGTACATTCAATGAAATGTGTGCATACAAACAGAGTGTAGAATAAACACAAGGTGGCAGTGAAGATCTTCCTCTCTAAAGAGTGTTCCTCCAATCCACTTAAAGGGAAAGTTCACCCAAAAATTCTAAATACTATTATTACCCAATACCCAGTCGTTGCAAACCCGTAAGATTTCGTTCATCTTCGGAACGCAAATGGAAATCTTGTTGATGAAATCAGAGCTATTTCTGTCCCCTCAGCTACGCAACTACCACTTTGACGCTTCAAAAAGTTCATAAAGAGTTAGTAAAACCTCACTGGTTCTCGCACCAATTCAATCTGTTGTTCATCATATAAAGCGATCGAGTCTCTTTAGAAAATTTGGACTAAACTGCTCGAATTATAATGATTAGTTTTACGATATCTTTATTAACTTTTTGAAGAGTCAAAACTGAATATTTAGCATCATTACTCCAGTCTTTCTCAGTTTCACATTTTCCCTCAGAAATCATTTTAATATAATGATTTGGTGCTTAAGAAACATTGCAGTTGTGCTGCTACTTAATATTTTTGTAGAAACCGTGATAAAGAAAATCCAAAGGATTGAAAAATATATTTTTTGTCACATTCTAAATGTCAATACTGTCTTTTTATCGAGTTATTGCATCCTAGCTAAATAAAAATATTAATTCTACAACAAAAATGACTAGATAAAATTTTGATAGGTAGTGTATAAAAAAAAGACACCGTTAAGATGCTTTTTGCTCATAAAATGGTCCAATATAGTTATAGCATCTACCAGCTGGAGTGAACTGGATGCTAACCACCCAAACGTTGGCCACTTTGGACCTAATTATCTTTATGATATTGAAATGTTTCTGAGTTCTGTACTGAACGTACAGAAAATTGATTCGCCCCGTGCCCATGTTATGTTGTCTAACGTTCCCGTCATTGGCTGCTAATCTTGTATCTAAATGACACAGCTGTCTTCCTCGCTAAAGCTGCAGACATATGAGTCTGAGTAGCACACAATAGATTAATACATTGCAAGTCAGGTTTAGGGTTGCTCAGGAAATGAGGTCCCCACGAATAAAATGAAAGCTGAAGCCTACTGGGTTAAAGTAACACCATCACAGAAGCTCTGATATCCTCTATCAATTATGCCGCATATTGATGAGTGTTCGTTGTCAGTAATGGAGCATGATTTTGAGGCCTGGATGTTGTGACTTATGATATGCTTTGATTGTTTGGTTATTATGTCTCCAAAGCTGTTATGTGTCAGCAAACCAGATTGCAAGTGATCCACGTTAACACATGTAACAAAGGGTGTAAAAAAGAGTGTGTTTAGCGTTCACGTCCTCGTAGAACTGGTAATTACGCATTTTCTGAAAGCTACTTGTGACCACTGTACCACCTGACTGCTTCTGATTTATTTAGCATTGATAGTGTTGCCATAGAAACACATAATTCCCAATCTAATGGACGCAAACAGCTTCGAGTAGAACGCAACGCGTTGTCATCATGAAATTACGGTACATACGACATGGCATGACGCAGCACAGGTTTCAACCCTGCTCCAACACACATACCTGTAGTTTTCAAATGAGCCTTATTAGCTGGATCAGGTGAATTTAATTAGTTACTGAATTAGCATAATCTTAAATCAGTATTTCACCCAAAAAATTTGGGTCGGTACGATGCAATGCAGCTTGCAAATGTGTTAAAGGGATAGTTCACCCCAAAAAAGAAAATGTGCAGTCGTCATTTACTCACCTGTATGTTTTTCTCTTTTTCTGTGGAATAGAAAAGGTGATGTTTTGAAAAATGTTAGTTTTTTTTTCTCCAATGTTATTTTGGAGCCCATTGATTTTCAATATATGGAAACAAACTGTTTAAATATCTTCAAGAATATCTGCAGAAGGAAAGAAAGCCATACAGGTTTGAAATGGCATAGGATCATTTTATTTTTGGGTGAACTATCACTTTAAACACATTTGCAAGCTGCATTGCATCGTATTGACCCAGTTCTCTAATTGATTTGTTAAATATTTTTGGAAACAAGCTTATATCAAAGTGCTTAATAAATTGAAATCCCGTTTACCTATTTTGATATGTGTTTTGGGCTGCTATAGATTTAATATTTGAATTATTAAAAGATATTTTGGTAGTCTAAATATTTGAAAAGCAGTCTTTGCAGGCCATCGGTCCCTTTTCTCCCTTCCTGGCTC